GCCAGAAGGAAGATCAGAAATCAGTAAAGAACAAGAAACTGTGACTCACCTGTATACAAACAATTGCAGCTACTCTTACTTTGGAGCCTTCACTGCTATAAGAATCCCTGGTTGATCCATCACTGTCACTCAAATCAGAATCTGATGATGTAACATCGATGCTGCCAGAATCATGAGCACCGGGACCCTGCCGGTCCCAAGCACTTGACGGCTTGGTTTTCAAACCATCCCTCTTGCGCAAGTGGGGTGGCCTATAAGGAGAATCTTTGGCATCCTCACGTGTTCCAGAAACCGATGTGGAGGGCATCTCACATAACTTATTGTCCTTGCGGACATCGGAATGAAAATGATGAGGTGGGCCAGTGATTCCATAACAGAAAAACATTCTCAACGCTGCTACAAAACTTGAGACCTGCAATCTTACATTTTCCATTTAAGCAAATTTGAAAGCCACAATGGCTGTCTAGACAAGATTTCAGCCCCTTCAGTGCTTAGAAGAGACACACACAAATTAAGAACCTACTTACATGATCAGAAAAAGGACATTTGATGTCTGTAAGGACCAAGTGTAAACAGTGTAGAAGAGATGAATAAAATCTGCACAAATGAGAAAGGACAGATGGTTAAGAAGGAAAGGACAATTTCAAAACCCAAAACAAGAGGCTTGAAGCATACCTCGACATAAGATAATCTTCAACCAGCTGCCCCTTGGACACTAATACATCCATCACTTTCCTTAGAACCTAAAAAGAAGGGGCAACAGCTTGAACGGAGGGAAAAGATATCAAGACAGACAGAAAAGAGAAGCGATGGTGGTTACCTCCGTAGCAGATTGGCTTACGTCTACAGGAAACAGAGCCTCGGACATAGAAAATGATTGACCAAGCATGTCAAAGGCAAGACAGAAGGCATCCCATAAGCTACTTTGTTTAGGCAGCTTCTTCCCGAGATCAACAGTAGATCTTTGATTGGACATACCATATAATAAGACCAAATCCTGATGCAAAAGTGATATAACGCGCAGAAGAAACTTAATCAGATGGGTATTCTCCACAAGAGCATTCTTTCCATGGCATGAACCGGCCAGACGCCTGGAAAAGGCAAGAGAATGCTAAGAGACTTAATCATTACCACAAACAGAACCAAGCAGAGGGAGAATTATGTAATAATAACCTTAGAGTTTCCAGACTCTGAATCACGGGTTTGATTCTAGATAACTGCGAAGTGGAATTGGGTGAATGCGTGGGTTGGCGAAGAAGAAAATCCAACAAATTAGCAAAAGAATCAAGAAGGAGAGTCCAAGACGACGAATTTATCTGCAGTTGCTTGCGTAAACAAACATCGTGGATCTGAAATCACAGAAACAGAATGAGCTTCACAGAAATGGCACAAAAGGAATGTAAAAAGCAGAGGTGAGGACGAACTCACAAATTGACAAGCATGAAGAGACACAGGGATGCAATCCGATTTAGCCACCAAATCCAAAAGGAACACACAATCGGAAGTGAGCTCGTGTGGTGGAAGGAGAGACGCGGCGGAGAGGAGAGAGTTGAAATGTAAGAATATGAGATCGTCAAGCAATCGAGGAAGTGGCTGGGGGGGAGTGGTTAGGGTTTCGTCTCTGAGAGAGAGAAACGCCGTCCGCCACGACGAAGCCGCCATTATCAACAGGAGACAATGCTCTCCTGGACGACCCAATCTACACAAGTAGGCGATTTTTGCTCTAGAAATTCCAAATTCCTTCCTTTCTTCGGATCAAGTACTCGCCATTATCATTCGTATCCGACCTGCAAAACGAGAAACACAACGAAATCAACTCAAAATTTCCCAGAAAAAAACTATAAACCTTCGAATACAACGAGCAAATAGAAGATTTCAATCCAATCCAAGTTCAAAGTTAGAAATACATGGAACATACTAACTCTCCATGTTAGGCAAAGGCCTAATCCCCATGACCGAACCTCCTGAGGATCTCGTAGAACAGATTCAAGCCATAAATCATCAAATCGAACCTTTCACCACACTTAATCATAATTTCAAAAAGACCCCTCTATTTACCAATATTTACATATATTACTATTAGATTTTTATATTGCGTGTGATACGATTAATTCTTATTTTAAATACGATGAATATGGTGAATGATAACAAAATTTACGCACCAAACCATACCACAATCTTTGTTCTTTTATATAGATTCCTATACATGAATAGTATATATAAGTTTGGTTAATTATGCGTAACCTTCTCAAGGGAGAGTTATTATGTGAAATTTTCATTATGTTTTACACTTGGGGAGATATAATATATATATATGAAAAAAAAAGACGCTTAAAAACTAATAATGGTAATTAATGAATATAATGATAATAATAATAATTTTGAAAGGTAGTATATACAAACCGAAGGGTTCAAAGTTATAACAATCTATCTACAGATCATTAAATCATATCATAGATAGAATAAAACAAATTAAAATGATGATAGATTCAGACATATTTCCTTGTTTCTTTCTCCTTTGTCAAAGTCGACCATGTGTTTGTTTGTAAAATTAGCATAAAAAAATCACGCCTTCTCCAATCTGTAATAAAGAAAAAAAAATAGATCTAATTACAAATCATTACAATGTGCTATATGTTTCTGTTCATGTAGTGCTCAGATAAATGAATTATATTGATAATTTGATTAGGGCGGGACATCTCATCGAAATCAAATAACATATAATATTTATAAAAACAGAAAAATTGAATTAAAACCAAACATAAAAAAAATAACCGAAAACGATTTTTTAAAATAAAATACTTCTATGAATAAAAACAAAATTTGAACTGAATGGAACATATATAGTTCTTCTAGAAGTGAAAAAAAATCAACCTTAAACATTTTTGTCAATAAAAAAATAAACCCAAATTTAATACAAATACCGAATAGATATAGTTTTCTAAAACCGTAAAATCGAACCCGAAAAGAACCAAATGGACCCACAACCCCAAAAACCAAGATCTGATAGTCCCTTTAACTAGGGTTAGTGGCTTGCATCCCACGTAGACAGATCTCTCACATGAACCCTTTTAAAAGAAGCGAGGAAGCGAGTTTGAATTCCCACCAAATCACTCACTAAAGCCTTTTCATTCTAAACCAAGAGAATTGGTAACATAAATTTGCAAACATATCCGCATGGCATAATAAGATTGCATATATGAACAAAGTTTCAGGTAACTTACCTCACAAGCAATCATTTTCGCTCCTGGTTTTGGACATCGGTATCGATGGCATCGAACTCCCAATCGCCAATCTCATCGGCCAAGAACTCTTCTCCATCGTCGAGTTCTAACTCGAGTTTCTTCGCTGGATCTTTCTCAGTGACCTTCTCCCTGTTTGGTGAGTCATAACTTGCTTTCGGAGTTTCGGAGAGTGGAGTCTCGTGAGGAGTTTTCAGTGAAGGTGAACGTGAAGAAGACCTTGATGGTGATTCTAAATCCAGAATTGGTCTTTCGATTGATTCGAACTCTTCTTTTGTTCTGTCAAGAGCTTCGAATAACTCCTTTACCCGTTTATCGTCTTTCCTAGATTTATAAAAAAAAAAAAAGATCACGAAAAGAGAGCTCGTAATTGAATGAAAATACACATTGTAAAGCTTCATCAAAGATCAGATCTTATCTGATGGGAATTACATCAGGATTCAGACAAAACTAACGGTTTAAAGACAGAGCTTGAGAGCTTTTTTTACCTGGAGATACCTTCTGACTGCGTATAGAACGGTTTTTTCATTGCATCCACTACGCTCAATACTGTTACAAACTGGTAACAGGAGAAGGAAGAATCAGAAGAGGTTGCCTCGAATAGACAAGTGATATGAAACTTCTACAGAATTTTCTGATGTGGGTGATTAGTGAATGAGTTAAACTCTTGATATCCACGAGGAAGAAGAGAAAGAATTGTATCAGAATATTAAGGAAAACTATCTAGATTTCTCTGTAAAAAGGGCATATACCTTAGCTTCAAGGTCCAGATACTCCTTCTCGAGTTGTTTTCTAGGGTTGATCGGTTTTCCATTTGTGTTCTCCGAGCTTATATCAGCTTCTGGCCTGATGTTACTGAAGAACCAGATTAAGAACAGAGCATCCAAAAGCTATGTCAACATACACAAAGAAGAAAGCTTTTTACTTTTTACTCGGGTCCAAGTTTTCCACGATGTTTCGGATCTTGGGTATGCAAGGTGCCAACTGATCCTGAATTGAGGCAAGGAAAGTGGAACAGAGTGAGATTTTTCAGCAAGTTTTCACGATAATAGTAGAATGTATTGTGATAAAGACGGTACTGTTTTCGGAATAAACATATTAATGTACCTTGTAGACAGAGAGAAGATGAACAACCAGGTCGACGAAATGGTGGCTATATCTCTCCATCTCACCACTTGAGTATTCATGAGAGGAGAAAAAGAGAAGTTTTGATCAAACAAAAGAAATCAACCAAGTGACAGAATTGTTCAAGTTGTTAGGTCCGTGAAGAATAGACATACATGACCTGTTTTTCCTTTTGCTCAGCAAATTTAGACTGCAGGATCCAGGTTTCTTCCAAGAATTTGATCCACTTATTCACAACATCTGCCTCTACCCGGCAAGAAAATATTGACCGGGTCAGCTCCTCTTCCTACAATACAAACCAAAAAAAAAGCACGAAGCTCTCCTCAAAATGATGCGAAAACATAGAATGATATTTTCTTGAACATTATTATTGATTCTAATTTCTAATTGGCTAATTTCAAGATAATCATGTTCACGTGTATAAGAATATCTCTCTTATTCACCTTAGACTTCAAGTGCATAAGAATTTCATTACTTGCGTCATCGAATTGCTCTCTCTCTTCCCTTGCATTGCGAAGGCGTGCTCTGGCAGAAGTTATTGAGGTGTTAACCTACAGGGATAGGGGGCCTAGTTAACAAAGCATGCACATTACGGAATTAAATAATTAATAGATAGTGTTATAGGACAAGTTCTGATGAAATTACCCTTTTCAGCTCAGCTTCAAGATCATCCTTCAGCAACTCAAGCTTTTTCAGCTCTGCTGCCAAGTCCTGTCAAAATGCATCATATTAAGGCAACCCAAACAAGAAGATACCCGAAAATGTCTGTTATAAACAAAATGAATGTGGTAGACATTGGAAACGAGAGAGATAAACTCCAGCTTTTTCTCTCAGATATATGACTAAGAAGATAGAAGTTTAAAGCACAGAGTCGAGATCTCATCCTAATTCTAACAGATATAATCAAAAAAAAATATGAAGGCGGCAAACCTTTTCCAGTTGGCTAACTTCGCTAGTTTTTGCAACTCTGTAGCTAAGCGCTTCTTCTTTCTGGGTTCTGCTTTTAGCCATTTGGGGAAGAAAGAGGGTAGTGAACATGGATAAATGGGATCAAACCAAGAGGCTAAAAGATAAATAGAAACATATTACTCTAATCCTTACCTATGGTCCACAATCCGCTTTTCAGCTTTTGAAGTAGAATTGAGTAGGGATTCCGACAAAACTTTCAATTTATCAATCTGTGAAATGGCAGCTTGAATCAGATAAAATAGCAGGGGACATCAAGAACATAAACCAACATTAGCATGGTAGACAAGCATATGGTAATCCACAGAGGAAGGGTTCACAACCCATGTCATGGAGTTTCACTAGACAGTAATTCTTCAAAACAAAAACGTATTCTTTCATGGAAAAGAGCAATAGATCTTTTGCCGAACAGATGTCCATGTTGCAAGATTTCACAAAAACGAATTCTATGTTTAAAAATGACAAAAGCACCAAGTATCTATGACACTACAGAGAGCGGATTAGCGAAAGGGGAAACCTTCCAGTGATTTTCACCGATCTGATTAGAAATTCTCACCTTCTCACTGTGTAGTTGAATGGAGTCACCATTCCTCAATGATTTTTTCTCGAGCAAGAGTGCTTCTAACTTTGAAAATGTTCGAATCTCTTCAAGAATTTCCCGCAGGGCCTGCAGCAACACAAGTCTATCATTAAAGGCTAAAGTCTTGCCTGGGATGATTCAGAAATATGTTGGACAAGTCATATTGGATTTCAATGCACGATATGACTTCCGAAATACGAAATAAAGGAATAAAGATTATACTAGAACCCTTGTGGTTCTTCCTTTTACTAGGATTATAAGTGAAATATTATCAAGACATACAAGAATAATAAGCAGTCAGTAAAAACTTCTATCAGGAAACAATAAAACAGAACATAAAAAGCTTACTTAGTTACCTAGAAGAATAGTTACAATTGAGACCAAATTTAAAGTGACCAGATGACGGAAGGAACGCCGTGACAGTGGCGAAGAGGAGAGACAATCTCACCTCTGTTGGTGGAGGGGTAGGTTTGTCAGAGGATTTTACATCATCATCACTTGAAGCCTGCTCGAGAAGCTTGACCTTCATCTTATCAAGTTTCTCCATCAGAGCATGGGCTTCAGTATCTATTCTGAGCCAGTTAGTATTCACAAATGAGAACAAGGCTGAGAAAAGAACATTACAGTGTTTAAGACCAATAATCTGACAGATCTGTAAGCTTTAGAATACACCAGTGGAGCAATGTAGATAATCTACAAATAGTGAAAGGTGTTAAAAGCATATGAGATTCCAAGACAACCTTGCAATATCAGCATTAATTTTCAGCCCTGAAATTGCACCTTGGACATATTGAAGCAGTTCCTCGCGCTTTGCCTTGACAAATAGAATGGAAAATGTGAAAGACATTACAAGGTGCAAAAACTTTAACAGTTCAAGAACATGGATGCCCACATTGCCCAGCAATCTCGTCAATCATGCAGGACAAAAACATATGTGCTATGAGATTATACAACAACGTCTTAGTCCCAAGTTTATTTGGGATCGGCCGCATAAATTCTTTTGCTCCATTCATTTTGATTTTGGGTTAAGTCATACGAAATTTGAAAACACTGCAGATCGTGACTAATGTGCTATAAGATTATCCTATAAAAAAATTCTTACTAAGTGGGAACATAGACTATGTATGACAAGTACTTCAAAGAAAAATATGTGTTCACGGTGAAAATCCCCATGTACCCTTACCAGTACTTCATCCTTGTATTTCGAAAAGACCATTGCCAAATCCTGCACGTTCTTTATCACCTCTTCATGAACTTCCTTTTCTCCTGACAAACATAGCCTATACGATAAACACGATGAAGGGTTTAAGTCAAATGACAAGGTTTCTCCATGATTTATGTTCTCAGAATGTAACCAAATGACAAGGTTTCACAACTTTGAGACAGAGGAAAATGAAAAGGCGATGTATGACAATATATGATCACCCGAACAACTCCCGAAGTAACCCGAACTCTTCCTCATTCGGTGCTTCCAGAATCTGATTCACAAAAAAGAGTCAACCTGCGGTTAAACTCGATGCATCAGCATGTAAAAAAAAGAGATTCAGATACACTAACGCAATGAAACAGCAGCAAGCAATACAATGCGGGCACATCAGATTCTATCGTATTGTATAAAACTAACTTACCATAGATAAAACCATCCCTTCAAGGGCTTCGCTATGGAGGAAAACATCTCGGAAGGTCATCGGCTCACCCGTCATACCAGGATCAAAGTAATAAACCTGTAAAATTGTCACAACCCATCAATCAAACTCATGATTTGAGACTAAAGACAATGATGAATCACTCACCATAGTGGGTTTCTTGGGAGAATCTCTAAACTCTTCGGAATTTGGCTTCTGATCCTCGGATTTGTGGTTGTTGCCTTCGTTGTTGGTCTCAGGACACAAATCAGACATTCTCTCAACCTCTCTTAGAGACACAAGCCATCTTCTCAACAATTGTACTCTCTCGCCCCCTCTACAAGAAACCGAAACCTCCTCTAATCTCTTCAATGTAACCCTAAAACTCTTCACATTTCTCGATCCCTGGATCGAGGAAACAAAATCAGACGATAGAATCGGGGAAAAAACATAACAGAAATTGGGAAATCGGGAGATTACGATGCGATCCTGGATGAGTTTGGCCCCTTCGAAGACGGCATTCCCGGCATGAAGAACAACGGAGTCCGCATAATTTCGGACCGTGCGAGTGATATTGTTGTTCCCTCCAGCTTCCACTGCTTTATGCACCGCCGATCTCAACCACGACATCACCTATTATTCTTGAATTTGTCGGAATCAGAGCTCAATTTTCGAAATTTTTGGGGTTTCTCAGAACGATTGCGTATTGACCCCGGCGATCATTGACAAATTCCTGTTTGGGTGGCAAAGAAAATTCAGATCAATAAGGAGAGAAACTACACGCAGAGGAAGGAGAGGGCAAACATTTTCCCGGGAGAGAGACTCTGTTTTTGAAATAAAAAAAAATACGATTTTTTTTTAATTAGTTGTAATATTGAACTCGAGTTCGAGTCTTGAGCCTAAAGTTCCGCCTTTTACCAAAATCTATATGTATATATCAACACACAGACACATGTATAGTATATGTACGCACATATAATTATACTTGTATATACACACACATATACACATGCATATGCATAATGGATCAATAAAGAGATCATCGTTACGGGTAAAATTATGTGATTATGCGAATTAATTCAACAATAGCGCAATACAAATTTTTTTTTTTGTGACATATGTAAATATTTGTTTTGGGCCATTCGAATCTGGTTGGGCCACCACATATGGGCTTTTAATATAGATTTGAAGAAGCAAACCGGAATCGTGAACCGGTTCGGTTCACCCGGTTTCGCTATTGCAAGGTACCGATTAAGCATATAGGGGTGAAATTAACATTGGTATGGATCGGTTATCTGACTCCAAATCCTAAAATTCAAATATTGGATAGCGATATGTGAATCGGATATCTGAAATCGGGAAATCATCTAAGAAATAAATATAATAAGATGTTTATTTACGAAATGAGTATATAGTACACGATAGTAAAATTTTTTACATAAGGTATAGAACTTTGGATTTCGAATTCGTCCATATATATATATATATATATATATATATATATGTCACCATTTAGGGTTACCAATGAACACTCCGAGTATTAATTTTAATATACAATTTCTTTTTTTTCAAAGATAATTCAATTGTTGTATTTCATTTTCATCCCCGAAAATCTTGTATTGGCATTTTGTTCAAATTGTTTTAAATATAAGAATTTTTGAACAAGTTGTATATTATCCTCGTTGGCTCAAAGCAGTATCTCTATATCTTATCAATATGAGAGGGGAAAAAAATCATCGAACGAGACGTGCCCACTCCACTGTCCATTCGAATTGGACGGCTCTGATCTCACCATCAACCCCCTATTTTGAAACCCTTGATTTTACATATAATTCTCAAAAATCTAACCATTAATAATATAAATTTAATTTATATCTGAATTCTCGAACCCAATCTTAAAATAAAATCTAGTATGTTTTTTTAATACTGTTTTTTCACCTATTGAAGATTTTAACAGTCGATTCATTGTTTGAAATTTTTAAAAATAAGATAGACAAAGTATCCAGGTTTTATGTACTTAAAGGTTGAAACTTTGTTAATTTTCTAAATAAATGAAATATAAATAAAATTGGGTTTGAAATTTTTGGTTAGCACAACAATACAAAATAACATTTTTTGTGGGTTTTTAATTTAAATTTAAATAATAATAATTCCAAAGAAAAGAAATATCAAGTGGGAGATATTTTTGTGGTTTTTTTTTTTTGCTCATAAATATCTCTCGCCTGCACCTCTTATCCCCTTCTCTACCCAAAACCTTATCCCTAGGAAGCAGAGCAGTCGAAGAAATTCAAGCTTTAGCCATGGCTGCTTCCGCTTCATCTCTTGCCCTCTCCTCCTTCAACCCTAAATCCATTCCTTTCTGTGTCTTCAAATCCGCTTCGATCTCGCTCTTACCTCTCTCCGTCTCTTTCAAACTTCCATCCGAGCCCCTTTCGGTCTCTCTCCTCGCTTCCTCCGCCGTGAAATGCCTCGCTTCCGGGGAGTTTCCGTCTCGGTTCGTGAGAAATGTCGCCGTTTCGTCGGACTTCGAGGTGGAGGAAGACGGCGTGTTTGGTGACGACGCCGAGGAGGAGCCTGGATTCTCTCCTGATCTGAAGCTCTTCGTGGGAAATCTTCCCTTTACCGTTGACAGTTCTCAGCTCGCTGAGTTGTTCGAGAGCGCCGGAAATGTTCAGATGGTTGAGGTACGAATTTAGGGTTTTGCGTCAGTTTTCTGAAATCGTTTCCGATTTTTGTGGGTCTAACCCACTTTTTCTCCTCATCATGTGCTTGCTTTAGCTTTTCCAGGAGGATAAATCCATATGCTTTAGGGTTTCTGTTCTTTAGTAACTTTGTGGATAACCTGTTCCATGAAATGGGTTGTATTAAATTATGAAACTTGAAAAGATTGAGATAATGGGTCGAGTCTCCTGAGAGGATTGTGTCGTTCTCTGCATGAACGAGAACACTGTACTTTACTGCTCTCATGTGTTGAAGTGACTGAATCTTGTAGGTAATTTACGACAAAATTACCGGAAGAAGCAGAGGCTTTGGATTTGTGACAATGTCAACTGTTGAGGAAGTTGAATCAGCAGCTCAACAGTTCAATGGCTATGTAAGAAACCACCTTTCTGTTACCGTCAGGAATCTCTCTAGTTGTCTTCCATTGATGATGTGATTTCTTGACGGCTTGTTGTCTTTGTGTGTTGTCTGTTCTGTCGTGTTTATCGCTACAGTCGTCTTGTGCATTAGTTTGTGTTCATATACATAATAGTGCACCTTGTAAATGAAAATTTTGAAACTGGAACATCCTGTTTGGTTCGTGGATATTTGTAGAATCTTACCTGTTCTACATTCCAATGATAAGACGTGTGTCTATTTCCTTGAAGAGTTCAAGCTTCTGCATAGATGAAGTTCATCAAACTTCTGAATGGATGAATTGCTGAGCTAACCATTGAACTTCTCTATATTTTTCCTACTGTCTTTGTTGTTCAAATCCAGCAAGGCTTGTCTCCGTCTTTTCTGTATGTTCTGATTGTGTTGACTTATCCATTTTGTCATGAGCATTCAGGAATATGAAGGCAGACCCTTGCGAGTGAACTCGGGCCCTCCTCCGCCGAGGAGGGAAGAATCCTTCTCCAGAGGACCGAGGTCGAGATCCAGCTTTCAGGGCTCGGATTCTGGGCCGAGATCCAGCTTTCCGGGCTCGGGTTCTGGTTCTTCAAACCGGGTTTACGTGGGAAACCTCTCATGGGCAGTAGATGACATGGCTCTAGAGAGCTTGTTCAATGAGCAAGGGAAGGTGGTCGAGGCTAGGGTTATCTATGACAGGGACAGTGGTAGATCGAAGGGTTTCGGGTTTGTGACTTACAACTCTCCTCAAGAGGTCAACAACGCAATCAGATCTTTGAATGGCGCTGTAAGTATAAATAAAAGACCTTTCTTCCCCGAGATTTTCTTAATATTCTTTTCAATCCATCTGTCTACAACGTGAAACAAACTCTGTTGGCCTTTTTTAGGATCTTGACGGCAGGCAAATACGAGTCTCGGTGGCAGAGTCTAGGCCACCAAGGCGCCAGTTTTGAGCATCCATTGTCGATCTGCCTGTTCTCGAACACTGAAGATTCTGAAAGGGTATTACCACTATTAACCTCGACCCGTTTCCTGCATTCTGCTAATTTCATCGAATTCTCGACATAGACAGGACGTTGACATGGAGATTGGTCGGGATGATGGTGACGCTCGAAGCAATGCTCTTGCGGATTCATGAAGGCAGTCAGAGGAGTGGTCGGTCTTTCTTTGAGAAGTTTCAAGATTTTAGGGGTTTTAAGCTTATTATTGTCTCTGGTTAAAGCTTTTGCTATTGACCCGCCTTCCCATTTGGTTGGGCTTTGTGATTTGATTGGCTTGTCCGGTTAAGTTTCACGTGATTTCGAGTATAATATGATGTGAACTCTCCCAAGTCGTGGTTGCTGCAACTCCAACTCCAAGATGAATTTTTTCTCCATTGATGATCAAATCGATGAGAATCCATCTGTTATCGAGAGCTTCAGTGTTATTGGTACTGACGCGATTTCAAATGCAGGTATAAGTAAAGGGTACGGGACAAGATGACTTTTTCTGTCCGTGGCGTTTATCGATTTATCAACCAGTTAGTTCCATAAACGAGTTAACGGGTTTTAGCCCGCTTCACCTCAACGTGCAAAACAACCGAACCGAACCTGAGTTACTGGAATCCAAAGACATGTTGAAAAGATCGGATACACCAAAATCTCGGGTACCTATCCCGTGTTCAACCCTAGTTCAAACAAAAAAACAAAAATAGTGTGTCGCGGTCGGGAAAAACAATGCAGTTTCACAAAGATTTATTTCCTCACGAGCAAATTAAGTTGTCGGACCAAATAACTAATAAAAAAAGAGAGATTTAAGTCAACACAGAGCCATAGATTTAAGGTCCTACAGAGTCATAGAGTTATGTTTCTTGCTTCCTTGTCCCTTCTTATTCTTGATCATTCTCGACAAAACATCAGCTTGCTTGGTGTTCCCTTCTTGGTTAAGGCTCTTGATCAGTTCATCGCAGCTCTTCCAATCTGTAATCCCTCCTTTCTCCATGATCTTACACAGAGCTGAATACGCGTTTAGGGTTTTCCCTGATGCTAGCAACGAGTCCAACACCTTATCGTAGCTCGAGAACTCGATGTTGTAATCCCTTTCCAACCCGAAATCCAACAGCTTCAGGGCTGGAATCGTCTTCCCTTTCTCGCTGAGGACGGAGAGAAGGCCATCGAGATCGAGTGAATGCCCGTTTTGCGTTAGAAGGTCTATTCGCCCGAGCGCTTCTTCTACGTGCCCTCTCATGAGGAGAGCTTCCAGGATCTTGGCCACTAATTCCATGTTTTCTTTCACGCCCACGTTCTTCTCGATCATAACTGTCATGACCCGGCTAGCGGTCTGAACCCTTCCATCTTCAAACAAACTGTCCATGACCGACCTGAACAACGACGCATCGGGGATATGCCCGTCTTCAATCATGCTGTCCATGGCGGTTTTGGCATCTGCCGGCTCACCTTTGCTCATGTAGCTCTCGATGAGCATCTCGTACGCATTTGCTTCTCTGGGCACTCCCCTCCTCGACATAATCTTCAGAATCTCGTAACTTGAATCCGGGTTTCCTTCTTTCGCATGCCCCCGGAGGAGACTGTTGAAGGCTTCTTGATCTTGAACACCCTTTTTCATCAGCTGCCTGAAAAAGACTTCGGCTTTCGAGGTCTGGCCATTGTTGCAGAGATATTCAATGATTGGGTTATAGGCGCTGGCCTCCATTTCCAAAGAACTCTGATGTCTCAACACGATTTCCTTCTCAACAAGCTTGTCCAACAACTTAACAGCTCGATTATATGCATTAGCCTTGCAGAAATTCTCAATCAACACCCCGTAATGCCCGGCTTCTGCCGGAACATTCAGTGTAGCCATGGCTTTGAGCACGTCGGAAGCTGCAACCAGATCCCCAGCTTTGCACTGAGAAACCAAAAGATCGAGGAAGATCGAGTTATCGTTCGGAGCAATGTGTCTTGCCATCATCTCCTTCAAGATATTCTTCGCTTCCGTCATCTTGCCTGCAGCACAGAGACCCGGCAAAAGGGTCGAGTAGGTAGTGGCATTTGGTTCGATACCGAAAGATTTCATCTCCTCAAGCATTCTCAACCCATCATCAACTCTTTCCACTGCAACATAGCCTTTAATCATGGTGGTATAACTCACCACTGAAGGCTCGATGTTCTTCCCCTTCATCTCTACAAACAGCTTCTCTGCCTCACCCATCTTCTTAAACCGGTAAAACCCGTTAATCATAGTATTATATGTAACAACATCGGGCAAGATCCCGCGATTATTCATATCCTCATAGAATCTCGTCGCAGTCTCGAGCCTCAATGAAAGAAAGAATCCCCACAGCATTATGTTATAGGTGTGGCGGGTTGGTTCTATTCCCGAACTTAACATCGCATTGAAATACCGTTTCGCCATCATATACCGGCCTCGCCTTAGAATCACTTTGAACAATGCATCATAAGACTTGATCGTTCTATTCACACCCAATTCCTTCATTTTCTGGAAGATTTTCACAGATTCTTGAATAATGCCCGCTTTGCCATAGCTATCAATCAGAACAACAAACATATCCTCATCCCATTCGACGCCCTTTTCGGGCATTTCCAAGAGAATGCACCGGGCGTGGTTGAGCTTTTGGACACGACCCAGCATCTCAATCATCTTCATATGCGTATCCCTGTCGTGTCGGATCAATCCAGATCTCTCCGACCACCGGAAAAACTGGAGAGCGTGCTCCACTTTCCGAGCACCGTGCAACACGTTATACGCCAGAGAATTATCCCATTCCGGGACGAGATCTCGGATCGAGTTCTGCAAACGGGTCGTCCATGCCCGATTCTCCATCATTCTACATATAGTATCCTCAAGCTTTTCATGATTTTGACGCTTACCTCGCCGGAATCTTTCCCTCTGCGGTTGAGTTGAAGACGGATTCTCCGTTTCCGGTTTTGCATCAGCAGTTTGGGATTCTGGGGTTGCGCCTCCATTGATGATTTCCTCCGTCGAGCTAAATAAACGGGAGAGGGAGAGGGCAGTCGGGTCTGACGATCTGGGAAGTGAGAGATGATAAACCCTAGGTTTCCACTGGTAAGGTTTAGACATAGAAATGAAAGCCATTTTCGGCAGAAAATCCTAGGAAAGCGGAAAAGGGTTTTTTAAACTCAGTTCGTGTTTTCAAATCATCGAAGTTTCGATCGACATAGAAGAATTTGCGAGGGATCGAAGATGGAGCAAGAGGCGAGAAAGACGAAACGAGAGGAGGGAGGCAGTCATCATGTTAGGGTTTAAGCAGTCGGGTCGGGTTGACCCGGATTCTGACCTGTCCCAGCCCATTTTGGCCCAAAAATGTTATGAGCCCATACCAAACTATCCCACTCACGTACGGCTATTGCGGTGATATGATGATGACCGATGACGTACCATTTATTTTTTAATCATATATTAATATGTTTGTAATAATTTCTCTCTCTCTCTCTCTATATATATATATATATAACATTAATTGAGGAGAGGGGGGTGTTTTGGAAATCCAGCTGGTAAAATTTAATAGGCTGTATAGGTAGTAGAGACCCACCATACCATACGTTTATGCAACGTCTACGTCACACATGCCCGTAATTGAATAACATGCGACACCTATGTTTGGCTCATAACCATTTTGTTGTAGTATTCATAGATATATACCCAAATACATATATATATATATATGCTGGTATTATTCGATGAATACTCTCAGACTTTGGATATGTCATATATTATATATATAATCGGATTGTGTATTAAAAAACATATAATCATAGACGAAAATATTGTTCGGAAAAAATGGACTTGATAACAATTAGCAAAATCTAAAGAAACATAACAATTTATATGCTAACAAACCCAAAAAAAATCATAAGCACTCACGTTCGCAAAATCTTCACATGATTATTTTATTAGTCTTGAGTTTCGAAATTTGGTTAAGGTTTGGTTGGATTCTTTCTATTGTATAAAAATATATCAATCGATTATTATTTTATATTTGGTTAAGTTCGGTTTTGCTGTTTATTAAAAAAAATTATTTAAAAATTTTGACTTTTCTTTAAGTTTTTTAAATTCGATTCGGTTTAATTTTATAAAATTCAATTCTCTAAAAAAAATACCGTTTGAAAATTTTTATGACCAAGTCGAAAACATATCAAAATTTTCAATACGGTGTGGTTTGATTCCGAATAACCATACAGAAACACCTACACTTTTTCACATATACCAACCAATGAAATAACGAAATTTCACAAAATAATAATCATAATAATATTATTTTATTATTATTATTATTATTATTATTATTATTATTATTATTATTATTATTATTATTATTATTATTATTATTATTATTATTATTATTATTATTATTATTATTATTATTATTATTATTATATCGTATGCAAATAAAACTTAACAATATTACAAACACTCAGCGTTAACTAAAAACAATCAGATTTACCACCATTTTCATCTCATTCAAATCTTAAAATAAAAAATCCAACCAACTTGCGAGTTCTTTTTTTTCCCTCCCCTCAATTAAACATTTACGACCGATCTATTCGAAGATATCACGCCTTCTCCTTCTTTGTCGGAACCCGACCGTCCGTACCGGCAAGCGTAGCGTACTTGTCCTTACGAGTGAAGTTGGTGCACTCAAACCCTAGGGTTCCGGCCAAAACCCTCTGTATATAATTCGCGACCTCGATGGCCGATTTTCCGCCGCCTTTACACGTCAGCTCGGTCGGAAGCTGGTTGAGGAAGGTGATCTCGAATGTCGGAATAGGGTTCATGAACACAAAGTAAGGGTCGAATAGCTTGTGACCTCGTACGGTCGTCCCATGGAACATGGTTTGCTTCGTGTTGATTGCTACCGGCACGATCCTGTCCGTCAGCTCCGCAAACATTGCGCTGAACCGTAGGAGGAACGGTTCTCGACACGTCGTCCCTTCCGGACAAATTACCAGATCGCCATCCTCAAGCAATCTAACAAGGGAATTCGAAATCCGTGATATATATATAGAGAGAGAAAGATATGCGCCATCCGCTAAGAATAAGGGTATTTTCGTAATTAACATAATTAGGGCTTAACGTATTATCATCCACTTTTGACGTCTATTTACACATTGTAAATTTAATTTATTAGATAGACAGAAAACCATTCAAGTAGAATGATAAGTTAGTTCATATTAGTAATGTAAACTCAAGTGAAACTCTTCATGATTCTCAAATCTCAATACAATTAGTTATTAACGAAATAAATTTCGTTACAATTCCATTATTCCAAAGCCTTATTTCGTTACAATTTCATTATTGCAAAACCTTATTTCAGACTTCATTTACCATGAAAAACTTGCATTACCAATGACCTGTTTTTTTTTTTTTGTGTAGTGCAAAAAGGTTGTGATCAGAATGATTTCGGATATAGGTTAATGTTTCTTATAATTCGATTTAAACAGAGAGCTAGTAAAATTAAAATATCGTTACCTCTTGATATGCTCGGCATCCTTATCGCGTTCCCGAGACAAAGCCACGGCCTTGATGGGGGAAATGAGCTCGGTAAACTTGCTAATGCTATACGTGACACAGCTTATCTTCCGGCCGAGGGCTATACCGACAATAACCGGGTCAAGAACGGTTCGATGGTTGCATACTAACAGCACTCCGGGCTGACCGGGCCTAGGTGGAGGAGGAGGATGGCCCTTGACCACTACGTTGATGCCGAGGAGTTTGTAGTTTAGACGTGCCACACGTTCGGGTAACGGAATATTCGTGAAGACTCGGACGAGAGAGATGAGTAAACCTAAGGGTAGCCAAAGGAGAGTTAACAGAGCAACTAACGGCGTCGGTCTTTGCACTAATCTTCCCTCGTGGAATATTATAGGGCTCAATAGCTTGTTCCTTTGTAATGGCTCGCATTTCGTACGTGGCACCATGTAAGCCTCCTGCAAGGATTTTTTATTTTATTTTATTATCTGCATGTCACGTATAACGTAATGTATATCATAATTAAATTGATCAAATAGTATTATTTGTTTGTGCAATTGCATTACTAGTGTGTGTGTGTATATATATATATGGATGGCCATCTGGATTAGGGTAAGTGACTTAATCCAAGCTTAATATCATTAGAGTTTTATCATTTTTTCGGTTTTACAAAAACCAGATCATTTTGTTGAACCATAACTTGTTACGATTCTGTTTTTGGGATAAAATTGCACAAATTCATGTAAGTACATTGTTTTATCATCATGTTCTACAAATGCATTATACGGATTCGGTTTCCGGTTTACAATCGGGTTTTAACCAAACCAGACCATTTGGTTTGCCATTTTCTTTACCGATCGTTTTTTTTTATGCATAAAATCCATTGTTTTGCCTAACCCTACAACTTGTCGGGGACACGAGAGAATTCCCAAATTAAAGTTAGTAAACAAAATAAATAATGGAAAACCCAATTATTAACAGGAATTAATGTCCAAAGCCGGTAATTTAAACAACGGAAGAAAAAAAAATAGTTGCTTAATAAAAAGAGATAAGTCGTAGTTATCTAATTAGAAACTCTTTTTTTTATTAAAATCTAATTAGAAACTTGCCTTTATATCACAAGTTATCTTAATATTTAGAGTATTTTTTAATGCTAAAAGGAGAAAATAGAGATATGTATCACTATATAGTTTCCCGAATTGAAATTTATCTTTAATATTGTACGAATTGATATAATGAAAGAAAAAGAAAACACGGTACAAAACAGAAGGACCATCATGATTATTGCATGAGGAACATTTAATACGACCGGTGGTTCGATCATGTGTTATCGTTCGAATGTTAAAAATTATTGACTACGTGCATGTTAGGTCGCTAAAGAGATCTACCAACTTAAAAAAATATTACTAATATATGCATTTAATTATATATTATCGGAACCAACCCAATCAATTAAACGATATGACTGGGCAATGATTAATTAGAAAACAAGTAATCACCGTATGGACAGACGCAATGATTATAAAATCAGACGATATACCTAATATTGCTCATATATTAATTAATGTTACAAGTTAGATAAGGTAAAAAATGATATCGACACGTGAAATGACAGGACTAACCTTGCAAAGGGACATGAAATCGTGGTCAGTCTCACTGTCGCCCAGACCCAAATCGGGAAACGCGCCGCAGCCGCCAAACTCCTTCAAAACGGCGTCGCGTTTGCGTTGACCCACGAGAACGCCGGGTCGGGTCGCGAACCCGGTGAACCGACCCGACTTGCTGACGTGGAGCTCGGTCCCGAGGACCTTATCGACCCCGAGGAACGTCTTGACGAAGGGCTCGACCATAACACGTGGACTCGCCGTGACGACGTAGCGTTTCCCGAAGGCGTTGAAAACGCGCCACGTGTCGGGGCGTACGTCCTCGGCGTAGAACCTGGGCAGTACGGACTGAGCCACGAGCTCGACGTCTCGGCTCCTGAGGCCGGCGAAGGTGATGAAGACGAAGACGTTGATGGCGAAGGGTTCGGACAGGAAGAGGTACGTGAAGTACACGAACGGTACGGACGCGAGTAGGATGCACGCGCGGATCAAGCTCCCGGCCTCGAGGGCTACGAGGAAGTAGTAAGGGAAAGCACTTCTCGAGACCAGAAGTGTCCCGTCGAGATCTGCCGCCACCGTCTGGCTCGACCGACTGTCCACGTGGCACTTCGATATCGGCTGGGGAAGACGCCGTTCGGTCGCACCCATGTTTGTCTACGTACAAGATAGAGAGAGATTTGGAGGGTGAATGGAAGAGAATATGGTTCGGATTGGTGAATACTTCATGAATGTACTTGTGTGTGTTGTATATATAGCCGAGGGAGATATATGCATATGTACATGTATATATGTATGTATAGGCTGTAGAGAGGTGAGCATGATTTTGTTGCTGCATGGAGTTGTTTGGTGTAGACATGAGAGAAAAAACGTATATTTTGTGTGGTCGTGGAGATATAGAAAAGATTCGCGTGAGATTCTCACCTCGGTTTCTTTTCCAAGTTAACCTAAGAATAATTAATTAACAATCGACCGTATATATATATATATGTATAACTACAGATATTGCGATTATACAGTGATTATGTACATTTATAACAAAAACTACATATATATACATAGAGAGAGAGAAACCGTGATCCCGTTTTATAAACATTTTGGATATATATATATATATATATATATATCATAATTGGCAAACTGTATAACATTAACACGTAGAGGGGTAAACATATGACTTGAAATAAAAATGACATATAAATATATAATTAAGATAGGGATTGGGGATAGAATTAGTAGGGGGGTTGAACGGTGTGGACCGGTGAGAGTAAAAGTAGGTGGAGACCGACACCACCAAATTTAATTAGCCACGCGCCGCCGCCTCTATTTATGAGCCTCGTTCGGCTATTTTTGGAGAAATTTATAAACCCCTTCTTCCATCAATCATTATTTTTCATGCATCTTTACATGTAATGTAAGAAACCCTAAGTTTATTTATAAATTTTTATTTTATC